GTGGCCACTGTAACGCCACCGCCGGGTTCGGTGTCCTATAACAATTACACGAGCTTTGCGTTGCTTAATCAAACATATGATGAAAGCGTTGCTGCAATTTTTTGTTTAATGCTTTGGATCAAGTAATATCAATGATTCAAGTGAATTTATACAGTATTTATCATAATACAGATGTCGAATGAAATGCTTGTGGTGCGGCGTAATCCTAAAAGAATATTGTGCCAAAATACACCTTCTTCTTTTTCGCTGCGACACCCCAACTCAAATCGCGCCATAGGGTACTGTGAAAATTCGCCTTAAGAATTCTTGGGAGAAGTACAGTAAGCTTTAGTACTATTTATCTTTCTGCTCTGTTCACATCTCGCTTTCTAGGTCTCTTAGCTATGTTAGATTTTACAGTAAAACTTTAAAATGAAGTTATTTTTGTTGTCTTAAATATAAATATTTTGGGTAAACCACGCCCTTAAATTGGGTTTTCTTTGTTTGTAACGCTTTCATCATATGTGTAAAAGCTGAAGCTGTTTGCAAGAAATTCCATTTTAACGAGTAGGATATATCGCTAATAGCTGCCACTGATTCTTTGGTTCAATCCCAGCTGATCGCTTGCTCCCCCCTACTAGACGATCTGTTTGCCTCACTGCGCCTGAATCCGTTTCAGCTAACATCTTTAGTCTATGATTTGTCTTATTTCTTCTGGGTTCCTCTTCTTCTTTGAACTAATGTTTCAGGCCTAACTGCACGTTATTCTGTTGAAGCAGCTAAAAATTGTGTTTTTCTAACCAATATTTATTTTTAATTATTTTAGCTAAACGCGCTGGAGACTACTATATGTTCGACTATGATCCATCTACTGATGAACTGGTGAAGCCTGTCGAGAGTTTTGTACCAGAGCCGACCCCAGGAGCCACGAAGTTTGAAAAATTGGATCCAGGACAGGTTGGGCTCTAAGAGTATTACGTTTCTTCTCTTGCACATCTTTGAAAAGAATTCTAAAAGAGCTTAGTTGTTCATTTGTCTTGTACTCTGCATTATTGATTAATTCTACACTACTTGGGTTTTTTTTTTTTTAATTTACTTAAGAATTCATCTCTATGCGCATGGTTGATCTCTTTTATAATTCCCGTAACCCTTAAATTTGCAAAATTTACTAAAGAAGATAATTTTAGTTGGTCTATGCTGCTACTGGACATGACTTGGATTTGGCCAAAACCTTGGAACAAGTGAAAGAAGCCGAAAAGATCAAGACTAATGAGGATCGAATGATTGAAGCGATGAGTAAGGAATACCATGGAACACCAACGGTAAGTTTTTGTCTTTTCTGCAATTCCTTTCGCCAAATTTCTTTGTAAAAACCTTATGAGAATGTTCTTATCCAGGAAACACCAATGGCAACAGCACAGGAGCCATCTATAAAAACTGAATCTGCTGCACCACAACCACAAGG